GAGCGCATGCGCAGAATGCACTGGAGGCCAAATCCAAAATAGCATAAACATGTGTTTCATTTGACGAAACTAAAGAAAACATTTTCAGTTTCCGTTCATTTCACCCGAAACAAGTTTTGACTCTTTGCACATGTCTAGTAATATGTGTGTGTGTGTGTGTGGTTGTTTGTTTTTTTATTTTATTTTTTTCACTGTTGGGGAGGCTTTGGGGAAAAATCAGGGGTCTAAATAAACCCCTGACATTCCCCTTTTGAAATAGAAAAGGAGGTTGAGGACACAGAGTCCTCTGCCCATACAGGTGAGGGAAAGAAGCGGTGTTAGGGTTTGGGCCCGAGTTGACGAGGAGGACCTCCCTTGCAACCCCGTCTGTGACCACTGGGGTTGTAGTCAGTGTGCGCAGGCAGGGGGTGCACGGGTGCCGGGTGCTGCTCCAGGGTCGCTATGAGGAGCGGAGACCTGGCAGAGTAGTTGGCCGTACATGAGGATGTAAACATCCAATTGGGTAGTCAGGACGCAGACCGGATCAATAACAGGCAGGCGAAGGCAGTACCAAGGGATAATCCAAAGAAGCGTCAGGAAGCAAGCCGGGTCGGTAACAGGGGGGCAAGGCAGTACAAGGGTTAATCCAAAGAAGCGTCAGGAAGCAAGCCGGGTCGGTAACAGGCGGGCAAGGCAGTACAAGGGTTAATCCAAAGAAGTGTCAGGGAGGAAAGCCAGATCACAGGGTTCAGGAGCAAGGTACAGACATCCACACAGGCTGAAGACCACTCAGCACTGAATGAGTGTCCTGAGGTGCCTTATATAGCCCGGGGAAGCGTTACGGTGCATGCGCCGGCGTGATGACGTCACGTTACGTATCCGCGCGATGACGTCACGCCGCGTGACCCCGCCGGGTCTTCTGGCGTCTGCGTGGCCTGCATGTGCCGGCGGACGTCCCCTCCGTGTGCGTCCCCGCACTGGAGCCTGGATCGTGACTTGGTGTGTCCCACGGACCGGGACCCGACATGGTCTACGGACCGGGACCCGACAAGCGGGGATCCGAGGAGAAGCTGGAGCCTATGACGCTCCTCTTTTCCCTGCCGAGCTGCGTCTGTGTTGGCCGCCTGGCACTCCTGATGCCAATGGGGCCCTGTGCTCGTCCACTGCAACAGGTGCGAGGAGGCACAGCCAGGCCGGCCCTGGCTGCGCCCTCTCTCAGCTGCGCCAGAGGCGAGTGCCTCACTCGCCCCATGGTAGCTACAGCCCTGCCAATTACATTCAAGCGGACAAAGCAGAAAGTTCTTATCAAGCATATGTTGATACATAAGACAATCATTGTTTCAGGTCACTAACTCAATACAGGCACAGCGAACACTTTTTTACACAGCTGACTGCATGTCCTTTTTGACAATTCTAAAGCCCAAATGAACGTACTGTTTAAATCACCTCAATACATTCCATGTGTATAAAAACCAAAGGTGTACAAAGTCTTACAGTTTGCTTTCATTAGCAACCAGCAACAGCCTGTGTAGAAAAATCTACTCTGTGCTCTCTGTGTGAAAGAAGTGGTCCCGCAGAGATTTAACATGCCCCCTGCTGAGTCAAACCTAGAGCTTTCCATTCAGCCAGGATCATGGACTGATTGTGGAGCTCAAACTTTGACTCAGCAGGTTGTACCTCTGCAGAAAGACCATTGCTTCCATGAAGAAAGCAAGGGTCCTTCTGTGCAGCATGCTGGCGGGGACAGGCTTTTGCACTCATGCTGCAGCTGCTTTGTAAAGATAATGAATTTTAAGGTTCTAAACTCTGTTAGTTTTGATGCGCGTGGAATATATTTAGCTGATTTATTTCGACAGTTCAATTGGGCTTTAATTAATAAAAAAGCTTTTGCTTGTTTGCATTCAGCATGCACAGTAAATACAGAATCTGATCCAGAGTATTTTAATGTATACATTCAAATGCCATTACAATCCAAAGCAAGATTTCATCCCTATCAGCACAGAACGTCAGGAAACAAACTTTATTGTTTGCATACAAAGACCAATGCACAATGTAAAAACATTTCTACCTGTCACTTGCTCAGTTGTTAAATGCAGATTCTTGTTCAGGATTTTCAGTGTTCACAATGGACTTAAAAACCTGGAAAGACCTGAAAAGTGTAATACGTTGGTCTGGCACTTGGCCCGCTCGTCAAACATTCAAACAATGGAACACGGATGGGGGGAAAGCCAGCAAGCGAGAGGGATGTTGCTAAAATTACAACAGGAAATGTATTTGCCTTTTAAATTAATATATTTTCAGTTCCGGGACATTTTAATAGTACCAGGCGTCTGAGGCACCCAATTATAATTAGAAGCAAACAAATGAAATTGCAAGTTAAAAAAAAATGAACATTGTACATCTAACTTCCATTGTGCAATTACGATTCATGAATGTGAAAGACACAAATGATATATTTTAAAAAACAGTGCGGGGAATTTATCAAAACTGGAGCCGGCAGAATCTGGAGCAGTTGCCCATGGCAACCAATCAGTATCTCTATTCAGTTGGCTCAGGTAAGATTTGAAAATGGAAGATAGAAGAGTATAAGCTATAGAGCAAGAAACTATGCTATGCTATGCTAGGAACTATGAATAGTGAGCTATGCCACTGGAATTTACAAATTGCACAAACCTAACTTGTTCCCCTTCCATAGATACCTCACGTGAAATATATGAGATGAGAAGACACATGGGGACACATAGGAAAAAGACTGAACCATAGACTTTTTAGGGCCTGTGTCGACAGGGTTTTTTTCCACTTCAGACAGGTTTAGAATAGAGGTCTATGGCAGTGGTGGACAAATTAGTATGGAACCATTGTTCAGGAGCTAGTCTGTCAAATCCAGGAGTCAGCTCCATTGACAACTAGAGAAAACCTCAAAAGTTGGATGCCAGCTGTAATGTTTAAGGAGCATTGGCTACCCGACTCCTGGGATTTGTCCAGCCCTGGGCTATAGGAATGCAAAGCGTGTGTGAAGCAGGTCAGAAGGACGTCAACTGAAGCTCAAATGCACCTGTCAATTAATTCTAAATGGTTTCAGAAGCATCCTATCAACCCAATCAAAAGCCCAAAGACACAGGCTTTTAAAGCAACATGCTATAGGGTATAAAGTTCAGACACCCATGCTTGCCTACACATAAATGCAGCAGCTACCCTTGTCCCTGCTATGCCGAACAAATTGCAGTTCTGAACTTGCAAAGCTCTGGTACTTGCTGGAAGTGACAGACCACCCAACTAGACATTCCAATTGAATAGTCACATAGTGATAGTGGGCCATCAGGAATGAAGGGCAGGAGGGAGTGGTCAAGCTCTGACACTACACAGAAGTGTCAGAGCTTTGCCTATTCAGATCAGTCTGGCATTCTAACATAGCAGCAACATGGAGGGCTGCTACATGGGTGTACACTTCTGGATGACTTCAGTTTATACTTTTTAGCAGGATGACAATCTTCAGCACGGCTCCATTGACAAAAAACTTTTGACGAATGGAGCGGTGCCAGTAGGGCCACACATGGCTCAGACTTCAAATTATACTTGGCTAAAATTCGAGCAGTGAATTGCCAACTTTACATTAATTAGCAAATAATAACACCAAGGGTACCATAGTTGAATGAAACACCAAAGATACCATAGTTGAATTAAATGTACACACTAAACTCCCTTACACTTTGGCTTTTCCTATTGGTACTTGGAGTTGTGCAAAGTGGCCCTTTTATACACAAAGCTTGCTCCGCGGTAATTATCTTGATAGAAAACAACACTACAAGTATTAATTTCTAATGTCACAGCCTATAAATCATAATTTGGAAACACACAGACAAGAAAGAGAACATAAAAACGTAAATATATTTATGCAGTGTAAAATTGCAGATTATTGAAAATGTCACACTCTCGACAGGTGTTCTAAGCCAGCAATAAATGTGCAGTCCTACACGGAATAACCTCTTGGTATTCAATATTATGTAATTCTATCCCAAGTGGCTGAGCCCTTCAAATTCACATCTAAAATGAGTGTTCTCAGGCAGAATGTACTCCCCTCACATGTGCAAAAATACTTATTTGACTTTTTTTGTATTTCAAAGTGGGAGGTCATTGTAGCTCATGTTATCTTAAGTACAGTCTATTTATTTATATACACAAGAACTCAGAAGTGGTATTTTTAGGAAAAATAAAAAAATAACCAATTTGTGAAGATGACTGGTGCACATTGTCTGCATTGTAGATGCTGTGTGGTTTAAACTGTATTTCCGTTTACTCAGCATAAAGTTCTAGAATTTATGAGGATAGGTTCTAACGGTAACATTTCTAGTGTGTGAAAGAATTAAAACCTTTGTCCATAAACATACACAGGCAGCAATAAAAATGTAGAGGAGGCCCTAACCAGACCCCACTCTGCTCAACACTGAAAAAAAATAAATTGTCTCCATAAACTTAAGTGTTTTTGTATTACTGCCCGGTAACAAACAGATTCTAAATCCATCTGTGCTAGACTCTGCTGTTACTATTAGCAAGTGAGTCTATAAAAATGTCAGCCGCCGAAACATATCAGCCAAAAGTGGCACTTTTGGCAAAATGCCGAAAGTGCCATCTTTCGGCCAAAATAGCAGTGCATCCGTGATTTCTCTCGAGCAGTGCAGGAGGAGAGTGATGTAAGCGGCCAGCGTCTCTCCGGCCCGGGGCAGAGACAGCTGTCACAGGAGGTTGGGCCGGCGGTGCAGGGGAGGAGTTACCTCTCAGAGGAGACCAAGCACCGCACCACTCACTCAGCCTCCTGTGACAGCAAGGAGGTGCTGGAACACAGTAAAGTTGCCAGGAACCCACTAAACTACCAGGTGGACAGAAACAGGAATTATAGTGGGGAAATTCTCTGTTGGATTCAAGACATAACATAGGCCTGAAGTTGACTCAGCCCATGAGGCTCCATCTAAAATACAACTTATAGGTGGACTGACCCTTTATTAGGATGAAATTTCACTTACCGTCCTTCCTTTCAAATATAATGGACATGATCATACACATGCAACACTTTTACTGTCCATTTCATCATGTTGTAACCATTTATTATGAACCCCTATCTAAATAAGATATCCCCAATGCATTCAAAGCTAAGTTATAACGATGGTCTGCATGGTTCTGGAATGCATATCCATTTCACGGAGGTGTCATAAGATCATTTCTTTTATTGAGTATTACTCTCTGCCTTTTAAAACGCCTAAGAATATCAAGAATGATCCATCTCAAAGCAGATGAGGGGATATGAGAAAAATGGTCATTCTATCTGACACATCACATGTAAATTTGGTAGCCTTTACTCATGAGCGCGCCTGTCGGCTAAGCTAAGCTTTGATAGGGCAAGCTACATTTTAGGTACTGGCAAATTTAGTTATTTTTCATGCTTTTTTTGCACATTTGTACACATGATTTTTATGTATTTGAGCATTTTTGTTTTAGGCAGTGGAAAGCTAGTAACTAAGAAGACAAGACCGTTTTTAGACTCAAAATTGTGTGAAAAACACTCATTACATGTGTTTTTCAGATGCTCCCACTAAAGTCTATTGAGGACAAAAATGCACGCTCATGCCCCAAAGAAGCTTCTGTACTTTTTCTGAATGTTGAGCATCAGCACATCGTTTAGATGTAAACAAACACAATAGAACAACATGAATGTTTTACTGAGTGTTGAAACGCTTCTTGAAACGCGCTTTAAATCTGTCAGGTGTGAATGGAGGCTTAAAGTCAATTCACTTACTTCAGTAGGTTTATAGGCACAATGTCCAAACGTATGGAGACTAGAAGTTTCTACTCTCCAACGTAAATTATTTATCTCTAATAGTTATAGTCTTGTGACTATGTTGTCTCAGTATACATAGGAAACACATTGGTAAACAATCCTATGAAAAGCACACATCAGAAATGAGTGCTAGGGATTTGCCATGTTAAATTTGGAAACAAGAATCAGTGCTCAAAATTGCACCTTGGCAACATTATTAAATGGAGCATTTAATAAAATACTGCAATGTTATTAATGCCCCATATGACGTTGACTTCAAAAGTGAACGAGCATACCAAAGGATTTCCAGTCCATGGAAGTAAAGGAAGGAAGTTAGTCTGACATAAGATCAGGAAGAAAACCATTTAAGGTTGATGTATATATTCAAAATCTTAACTCCTAGCTAGTGGAAGTCTACATAATCAATGCAAACTAGTTGGAAAATTTTGATTTTTTTTTTTATGTGACTGATAACGCAGAAAACTATTGAATAAGAACTGGTATTAGCTGTTCATTCCCCCACAAAACACTTGTAATTCAAGACCAGCACATCTATGAATATTCTGTGTGGCATTTCTCCTAGAAAGATTTCTCTGGTCATAGACATGCCCTCTCCAATCCTCCTTACTACATGTCAGCTTGCCCAGGCATAGTGTTGTACCTGGTGAGCACAGAGTGATGTTGCCTGTCAGTAAAAACCTCCCAGTTACCTACAGGTTACCCACCCTAAACATCTTGTTTCTACTGCACAGTACTGGTAACTCCAGAAGACATATCCAGACAGGACAGCATTAGGTCAACTTTACTGTGCTGTAAGGAGCATCAACATTCCCAGGTAAGTTCTTGGCCCTGAATGAGCAGACAAATGGTAGAAGATTGCATACAAATTAATCAGACAAAAAGAAACATACAGACATGGCACAGGTATGAGCTTCCATTCTAAAAGTTGGGGATTTTGCTATCTAAAAATGGTAGGTCAAACTCCACTTTTTACAACTGATGAGTGGAGTGAGTGATTCTAGATAATTAAAGTGTATCTATACCCAAAACCTTTTTGGTTTTGGAAAGAATGGGGAAAGGTTAGAACCCCTATTAGGTTGTACAGCTGTCTATTGTCCGACTCCATTAGAGAGACTTCCCTTCAATACCTGTTCTTAGGACAGCGTTTACCTTCTTTTGGATCAGATATGTTGGCGTTTATATAAGATGAACTTGTTGGACTTCTTTAAAGCTTGCTAATGTTGTTTGAGTTTTACCACAACACACCAGAGAACACTTGGCAAACCGCTGGCATGCACATGTTTGGCTTCCCCATCGTGCATGGCTGCCGTGGCTAGAGTCTCACTATGAAGAAGCAAAACTCACCGAACCTCTGAACCTCAGCTAATGACAGCAAACCCTGTCTGTGAACTCTTAGGGCCCATTCAATAATAGTGCATTATGCTCTGTGTAACGCATGCCCTCTGGTGTGCGTTGTGTAGGAGTGGTGCAATGCTTTGTTACAACACATCACACTTTTTTAAACTTTACTGATAAGTCACAAAATGACAATGCAAATCTGTCTCTCAGTCCTAGAGGTAGCTTGTTTGCACCCGTGCAGTCATCTAACCATCAAATAAAGAACACTTTTTTTTTTTTTAGCAAAGGGTTAACATTTTAAAGACACCAACGTGTAAATATGAAAAGTCCACACGAGTAAATATGAGGTCACTTTACTTTGCATTGCAAGTCAAATAAAAGAATAACTGTTTACTTAAAACTGACACCAGATCACAAGCTCCCTTTCCGGAGATAAGCAACAGCAACTGTTAATCTGACTTTATGAAGATGCTTTTTGTTCTCCTCTGACTGTCTCTTTCATGAACCTTCATACAGAATTCCATCTCAATCAATTTCTAGGATGAACTGCAGCTACCATGTAAGTAACACTAGCTCCATTTTGTAAACTTCTTTGGAAAAGACTGAAAATTGTTTCCTTTGCGTGATAATCAGACAATATGTACATGTCATGAGATGAAGGTATATACCAGTGAATGGGGCCGAGAGCTAGGACAAAGCAAGTCTTCATTTATTCTTAGCTAAATGCCACCATGTATGTTGTTTTTACTAGACACAGCCTAGAATTCTTTCTCTTTTTTTTTTTTCTGGTCGCACATTTTCAGTGTGGCTGATCCGTAAAACCATAATGAGCTTTGTACGGTTTTACACCTGAACATCTTGTTCTCTGATTCTTCTACCTTTTCAAGTTAACAAACCCTGACTGCTGTGTCCTACACATACCCCTCCTCCTGTTTATTTTCTGCAAGCTGTCTATGAAGTTCTTACTTAGCTTTCACAGTAAGAGAAAAAAAAATGCATTGTCGTCCTACACAAGGATTATCAAGTGTCTTGAGCACCATCACCACGTAGAATAATCCTAAGTAAAAGGGATGTCTGAAGCTGATCTTTTTAAAAACTGCTAATGAGTTAGCCATTCTATTTGTAGACCTTTCTGTAATTATAATCTAGGTCACTTTTTATTGATAAGGGTTTATATAAATCACAGCTCACTCATTAACGGCATTCTCATTGTTTGATTTTGCACTACAGCATTTTATTCCTCCTATTAGCACTTTATAATGGACAATTGTACCAGATCAAAACATGTTTTAAGTTGCATGAGACAGATTTAGTGAGGATTGTGTATGGATCATAAAATAGAAATTACGGTTGCGTTGGTGTTGGCCGTTTTAAAGAAGGTGTTACTTTAGTGTTATAGGAGAACCAGAGGTTGCAGCTGAGCATGGGTCCATAAAGCCCCTTGAAGAATCAACTGTCAGCCGACTTTGTTCTCCTCTGGTAACAACCTTGTATTAAATTGTTTGTAAAGAGCATATAACACTTTGGAAGAGTATTTGTAGCATGGACTGCGATCTAAGCAGGTAAACTACAAATCTTGGCCCAGGCTGCTTGATCTTTGAGTTCTTGCTCACGCCCTAACAGTGATGGACGGTTGGCAGTGAAGCAGAAACCGAAACTGATGTCATCACAAATATCTGAATAGTGCACATAACATCGTTCTACACACCATACTTCTGGATTCTCAAGAGGACTGAAAAGCTTCAGTTTTACTTCGATACATGTTGAACTATGATACATGTCTCCCAATTGGGGCTATCCCTCCTATGGAACCAACCCATAAATCCAAGAAATACAGCATTCAGACCCAATCATAAAATGGTGCTATGGTGAAATAGCAGATGGCACTGCCACAACATAGGTCCCAATCCAATACATCACCAGCATACCATGTTCACATGAGAAGACAAGAAACTTTATTGTCACCAGCAGGAAGCTGTTGGTGAAAATAAAGTGCCCTTCCTTTAGAACCAAATCTCTCTATCCTAATATTTAAAGAATATTCAGCTTCAATCCAAAGTTTTTTTTTTCTGCTGCTGGATGTCCTCAGTCTGATAGACTGCATCATTCAACCCAATTTCTCTGAGCCCAGGTCATCCTGGACAACCTGTGATTGGACAGTTAAATGAGAAGCAGCACAGTGATGAGGTCATCTCGCAGTCACCCTGCTTTCTGCTCCTATCAGCATTCTTCTTGTCAGTACATGATCTGATTGACTGTTTGTTCTTCTACTTCATCTCATATTCTGAGCTCTGCCGTACATGCACTGCAAGAGGCTGACAGCAGGTTAAGTTCAGGTAGTTACACCACCTGCATTGAAAAGCTGCAGTTACGGAGCTGCATTCATTTGTATCTTCTATATCTCACTAGAGCTCAGCTTTAACAAAATCAAAGTGTGTACATCAGCTCTGTGCAACTGTCAGCTGTCTGTGGGTATCTTTAACTATCCACATCCCGATAGTTTCACATCCCAGATAGTCAGATGAAGTTGAATCATCAAATTACTACGTGCCACTACATAAACGCAGTGTCCTATTTAGACATAGAAATGCAATTGTAATAATAATTTGTGTCTTTTCACAATCAGCTAAAATCTAGACTATACACTACTGACTGCAAATAGGACAGGAAGTTAAAAGAACACAGCGTTCTACAATTAATTTATCTGTCCTAATATTTTAAAGGCGTAACCATGAACAATTGAACACAATATTTGCAATGAAAGATGAACAATTGAACATGGTCTTATGTTTTCTGTCTCCCAAAATGATCTTGGTAAGTTCGCACAAGTAAAACAGGCTACAAATGAAACAAAATGAAAGACATTTCCCTGCTAATG